AACATATGAATGTCCCCAGGAAGTAGTCGATCGCTCGGACTCCGTGTCCGTGTCCGTGTCCGCACCTTACACCATCTCTCCTGCTGTTATAGTCTCGTCGCCACACATGGGGCTCATTTCTGTTCTCCTTATCCCTTTTACTCCTTACGAACCTGTCCCAAGGTTTATTGAGATTGTATCTACATCTGCGAAAGCCCCGCGCCATTGAGAACTGATTGAAACATTTAAATATGGACCGCACAGGTACACAACCAAGCCCGAACAACTTGGATCGCGAGAAGAATGCAGAATCGGCAGATTTGAGTACTCAGAGTTCACCTGGCGATGATGTCGCTACAGCCAGCAGGTCTAGCCCACGCATCATCCATGGTTGGAAGGTAAGTGAGCCACCCTCACTCACACCCATACATATCACCACTTCCAGAATAATTGCTAACACAATACGTTTTCTTCTGTCTAGTGGGCAACTGCATACTCCGCTATGCTATCAACAACCCTCCTTTTCGCCCTCGACAACACAATCGTCGCCAACATCCAACCCGCCATCATCGCCGACTTCGGGCACCTCGAACTTCTAACATGGATCGGCACCGGCTTCGCCCTCGGCACCATGTTCATCCTGCTCTGGGGAAAGATTTATGGCGTCTTCAACATCAAATGGGTTTACATCTTCAACATCTTCTTGTTTGAGGCTGGCAGTGCGCTTTGTGGTGCTGCGCCGAATATTGAGGCGCTTATTGTTGGGAGGGTTGTTGCGGGCGTTGGGGGCTCGGGCATGTATTCGGGTACGTTGACGTATGTATCTGTTCTTTCGGATGAGAAGGAGAAGCCGGCGTATCTTGCGGGGAGTACTGTTGTTTGGGGGATTGGTAGCGTCCTGGGCCCAGTGGTGAGAACAACCTTACAACTCCGTCCTTACTGGATGTATGCTAACTTTCCACCATTAGGTCGGCGGCGCCTTTGCGGCAAGTAGTGCCACTTGGAGATGGGTATGTCGTTTCGTCTTTTGATGTTCGGGTCCTTGCCATGAGTACTGATCATAGGCTAGGGGTTCTACGTAAATCTTCCCATTGGTGCTCTCTTCGCACCCGTGTACTTCCTCCTATTCCCCAGTATCGACCCCCATCCGTCCAAGACGCTCACCGAGAAGCTGCGCTTTGTCGACTGGGTCAACGCCGTCATCTTCCTCGCTGGTTCCGCCTGCCTAACCGTCGTGCTCACCTTCGGCGGTGTCATCTACCCGTTCAATTCCGGAACTGTTATCGCGCTGTGGACCATCACGGGCGTTCTGCTTGTCGTCTTCATCATCACGCTGAAGTTTCATCCGCTCGTTACCAAAGAGAATCGACTATACCCACTTCATTTCTTTAAACAACCGACATTGATCAACATGCAGCTTCAGGTGTTTCTATCCTCTGGTATTATCCTGGTAAGCTGCTGCCGAACAATGATGAAGTGAAGATGCTAACCTATTCCCAAGGCCATGACTTACTACATACCCCTCTATTTCCAATTCGTCAAGGGCGATGGCGCACTCGAGGCCGGCGTTCGTCTCCTACCATTGATCATGTTCATGGTCTTCGCGTCAATGTTGAACGGCTTCTTGATGCCGAGGTATGGCTTGATACCTGTCTGGTATATTGGAGGGAGCACACTGGCCCTTATTGGCACGGCTCTGATGTGTAAGACTTTGCATCGCATCCGGGTTTTAAGTAACCTCACTAACATCTTTCGTAGACACCGTCGATGAGGCTACACCCAATGCCAACATCTATGGCTACAGCATCCTCGTAGGAGCTGGCACAGGGTGTTACATCGTCGCAGGTTTTGCCATCGTGCAGTCTTTGGTTCCTGTTCGTGAGATAGCCAACGCCGTTGGTGCCATGACCATCAGTCAAGACCTCGGTATGGTTCTCTTTCTCGCAATGAGCGGCAGCCTCTTTCACAACGTAGCTGTCGACAAAGTCGGCAAGGCGCTCCCAGAGGTCTCCCCCATGGAGATCGGGAACCTCATAGCGGGATCAAGCAGCAAGGCCTTCCAGGCACTGTTCGATGAGGAGAAAGCTTTGGTCATCCCCGAGATAGCCAGTGCCATGACTAGCATCTGGGCTTTCTTTCTTGCTGCTGCTGCGCTGAGCGTGGTATGCTCGGTTCCATTGCTGGTGAGTTCTCTCCAAGATTGCCTTCCTACCGCTGCATGATGTTTGCTGACGTTCACGACAGGAAGTCAATCTCAGCGGCAAGAAGAAAAGTGCGGTAGTCACTGCAGCGTGCGATAGACTTTGACTGGAAATGAACATGTCAAGCGAGGGCAATCGTCTCGATTGATGGTGGCTTTCAATACAAGATATACTTTCTCCTCCATTGTTAGAACATAAAATTGTGATCTGTCGTACTCTCGGCTCCTCGATGATGATGTCAACTCGTGGCGTAGTTTATCTTGTTCTCTTGATCAATGAATCCCTGAACTACACAGCAACCACTGCACGCACGGGCAGCAAAAACCGAGGCGGAGATTTCGTGATGCTGACTACAGATGCATCCGCCCACGATCCGCCCTGGCAGACTGGCTAAAGGGGTGGATCCTCCAACAGGCGACCAATAGAGAAAGAGCGGCCGTTTGTGTCCGTTCCTGCCTACCTTCTCACGGCTCCGGACGTACCGATGACTCTTGAGACACTTTCTCAGATTAGAACAGGCCATGAAAATGATCGCAAAGTCTCAATAAGAGGGAAGACTGGGGATGCATAGTTGGAAAATGATGTAGACGACGAATGCCGTGTTGAAGAAGCTATTGATGGTTCCAGCGAAGTGGAGCTCGAACTCCGCGCGGGAGCCCCACATTTCCCGGTCGGCAGAACCTTCCGCCGCCCAAAATTTCGAGCCGTCCCAGGTACTTTCCAGTGCAACTTCCAGATCCCACTTCACCACAATCTACTCGCCTCCAAACAACCGTCACGATGTTCGCCGTTCCCGGATGGAACGTCGCCGCGCAGGTGAAGACCCAGGTCGAAGTACCAAAGCCAAAAGATTCCACGAAACCTGGAAAGAAGGCGCAGAAGCGGAAAGAGAAGCGCGAGGAGCAGCAGGTCAATGCAGACAATCTTGCAGAGCAATGGGACAGCATAGCCAATGGAAAAGGTGCGGAGGTGGAGAAGACCGAGAAGACCAAGAAGCCAGAGGCAGCAAGTGTAGAGGCGACAGATGAGGCAGCGCAAGACAAGCGTGGAAAGAAGAGGAAGAGGGGAAAGGCTGGAGGTAACAAAGACAAGGAGGCAGACGCAGATGGCGTAAAAGAAGTGGATGCGGATACGGCGGCGGTAGCTGAGCCTGCAGAGGCTAAAGCAGATGCTGCGAAGTCTGGTGAAGAGAAATCCGCAATAGCCGACAGCGAGGCAAAGCGCGAGAAGAAGAAGCGCAGGAAGGAATCCAAAGCCGATAAGCTCCTCGCCGCAAACGCAAACGGCACGAACCCCGCCTCCGCGACTCCAGTTCTGGAGAACCTCCTTCCCGAACCCAAGGGCCTCACACCCCTCCAGCGATCGATGCGCAGCAAGCTCGCCAGTGCGCGCTTCCGCCACTTGAACGAAGCGCTCTACACAAAACCCTCAGCGGACAGCGCGTCTCTCTTCAAGGAGGACCCATCGATGTTCGAGGACTACCATCGCGGTTTCGCACAACAAGTCGAAGTCTGGCCATCGAATCCCGTAGACGGCTACGTCAACAGCATAGTAGTACGAGGCAAGCTACGGAACAAGGACATACGAAAAGACCGACGAGGACCACCGAAGAACGCAGTTCGCAGAGGCCCCGGTTTCGAGGAAGAAGAGACCACAGCCATCGCACCTCCGCGTGGAGACGCCAAACCCCTCCCCCGAGACTTCAAAGGCCACTGCACCGTCGCCGATCTAGGCTGCGGAACAGCCTCGCTATCCTACCGCCTCCAACCGCACCTCAAATCGCTCAACCTAACATTCCACTCCTTCGACCTCTCCAAACCCACCGGTCCCTCCGCCGACCTTGTAACAATAGCCGACATCTCCGCGCTGCCCATCTCGGAAAACAGCGTCGACGTAGCCATCTTCTGTCTCGCACTCATGGGCACAAACTGGCTCGACTTCATCGACGAAGCATACCGTATCCTGCGCTGGAAGGGCGAACTCTGGGTCTCGGAGATCAAATCGCGCTTCGGGCGTGTGGACAAGAAGAAGGGCGGTGTGCCTATCAACTCCATTGGTTCTCTCAAGAAGACTATGGACAAGAAACCTCCCAAGGCGAAGAAAGCTAAGGCTGATAAACCACCTGAGGAAGGCCCTGTCGACTCGGAAGACGAGGAGGAACTCGCGGTCAATGTAGATGGCCAGGAGGGTAAAGAGGGAACAGATGTTTCTGCGTTTATCGAGGTGTTGCGGAAGCGTGGATTCGTTCTTGATGCTTTACCCGAGAGGCCTGGCGATGCGATCGATTTGAGCAATAAGATGTTTGTCAAGATGCAGTTTGTCAAGGCAGCGCATCCAAGCAAGGGTAAGAACGCGAAGGAAGATCAGAAAGCGGGGGCTGTGGCGCAGAGGGGTGGAGGTATGAAGTTTGGGCTCAAGGGCAAGAGGTTTGGTGCTGGTGATGGAGATGACGAGGGCGATGCTAAGGACGGCGCGGTCCTGAAGCCGTGCTTGTATAAGATTAGGTAGACGTGGGAGTGCATTGTGATGATACGAAGCGCGTTGAGGGGCGTTGAAAGCCTTTCTTCAATTGATCTATCTTGTCTTCGTAAAACTACGTTAATGCATATGAAGCTTCTTCGCTTCTAATCCTGTTCCCTGGTAATACATGCATGCTATCGATGCAATGTCGTGAGTTCGTCAACTCATGTCCTCGTCATCGAGACTCCTTTGAACTGTTCAGATCTTTCCAAAGGGTTAAATCTTACTGAGTGAGACTACAGCGGGTGTAGGCGAGCGCCATATGATCCTGATCTTATGGTGCTGTGGTCGTCTCGTTGACTAACCACCGAGAAGGAAACTCGCAGCATGTTCGACGTTGCCTCCGAACATCTCCAGTGCTTGTATGGCTTCCTGTTCTGAACAGCCAAACATGCCAGTGAGTTGCTGAATGTTCTCCTGAGGGAAGTTGCTTGTAGGTGCAGATGCTACGGGCGCTTTGGACGCTGTGGGTTGGGCTTGCGGCTGCGCTGGTTGAGATGATGAGGATGATGCGCCGGCATTCGAAGGACCAGCTGCAGCGCTACCTTTCGGTCGAACAGCACCAGTCTTCGCACCAATCTCCTCTCCGTTAGGACCTTGGACAGTTGGCTCGTTCATTTCCGCCTCCTCAAAGCTCCTAGGGATTTCCGACTCGTGCAAGAAGGGAACTTCCTGTCCTTCAAAGCATAGGGCGTTCTTCTCGAGATCGATCTTGGCGCGGTAACGCTTGAGCATGTCCAGACCAAATAGTAGGTCGACGTCCTTGCCCTCCATGACTGTGAAGGCGCAGGGCATGACCGCGCCTCCAATCTTGATCTCGGCGTGATGTACACGACCCAGAATACGGGCTGTGCCGACACCGCGTGCCATACCGGCATATCGGACATCCATCAGGCGCATGATACCACATCGCTCGGCGCAGTCGGGGGACATGATGGTGGCCTGGGCGCCAGAGTCGACGAAGGCTTTGACGGGCACGCCATTGACCTCGGTGTTGACGTAAAGCATGTGTACGCGCGTGAACACTGTGGCATGTTAGCTTCCGTGGACACAGCCCCTCACTTATATATCCCATCGATCTATCCGCCGGTCGAAGTTGACATACCTTCAGGGTTCTCGTCGTATGCCTTTTGGAGGTTCTCGACTACGCGATCCTGGCGGATGATGTCTTCTATCTTTCGTTGCGCCTCGACGTTGAAAGGGTCTTCGTTGAGCAGGGCGATCTGGTTCTGCCGCTCGCGCTCCGACTCCTCGGCCTGTCGTTGCCTCATGGCATATGTATCTCTCCAGCGGGTGGGGTCGTTGACGGCGGCGGCGAGCTCCGGGTCGCCCTGGCGCAGCTTGTTCATCTGCTGGGGGTCGTTGAGGACAAGCTGTCGCACGCCTTCTGGATCAGGTTGCGCGGGCCTGCCCGGCTGCTGGAGGTTCCTGTTTGGTCGAGGTGCGGCGCGCATCACAACGGCCAGCATCTCGCCATCCCGTATTCCGGCGTCCTCTAGTGTCTGTGTGTCTACGGCTACCGGCTGGCCGTTCAGGTAGAGGCTCTGTGACGCGGCGGGCAGGCTGGTGTCGGCCTCGATGAAGCCCTTGAGGTCCTTGACGGTGCTGCCGGGGGGCAGTTCGAGCGTCAGCAGGTCCGTGTCGGCCTGGGTGCCGGGCGCGGTGATGGATATGGTGACGCGAGGCCTGGCGGCGTGTGTTAGCAGCGTGCTGGGGGTGGTGGCACAACCACGGCTCCGGAATCGACTCACATGGTGGTTCGGAGCGGGCTGGGGCGTATGCGGGCACGTCTGGATGAGGCCAAAGAATGTGACACGGTGGGAGGTGAGGTTGGGTTGGGCGGGTCGGGGCAACGGTGTCTCGGTGCGCAGGAGCTTATAGGAAGGAGGCACTGGGCCGTGATGGTCTGGTCGCAACCTGGGACTGGAACGGGCCGGAGGGTCCTCGCAGTGAGAGAGGGAGAGGGCACGTCAGTCGCCGCCTGCTGGGCTGGAAGGGAATGGAACGTAGTGGAGCCGCGAACCCAGCGTCGGATGAATCAGCGATCAGAGGGCACAGGCTGCATGTTGTGAGAGTTTCGCCTAGGCCACCAAGGCTGTCACTCGTAATATACCAGCAACGTCGGGCTGGGGCGTAGGCGTCGGCGCGCAGTCGAAGGAGTAGTACTACTGCATCCAAACCACGACGTTGGCGGTGTAGGCCCAAGCATGGCCAGCAAGCGGGGCAGCCGACGCGCGGGAGAGGCTAGACGGTGCAGACAGTCGCGTCGATATGAATGAATACCGTCTCTGCTTGGAGCCACGGCGTGTCTGCCATGCACTTGTCCTGGGCTGACTATGCGGCGAGCCTGGTCACCATCTCCGCGGGGGTGCTGTTCATCCGGGAGCATACCCAGACCTTACTCCAGCTACCTGGATAGCATAATGTCTGGGATGCTTCAACTCCTGCCCAACGCATGCACGAGAATCATCTGGCCGCTGCGCCCTACGGCTAGCCCCTGCAAAGGATTTCGTGAGCTGTAGCTCCATGCCACCAGGTGCTGCCATACCCCACCGACATCATCCTACTGCACGTCATGGTGAATCCCATCGCCACACCATCGCTAGTCAGGGCATGGTCGATAATCCACGAATCCCGCCATCACAAGGCATTGCTTTTTGAGACGCAAGCAGGAGTCTAGAAGAGTGAATCCCATACCAGCCATAACACACGCACATCCCCGCCTGCTCCTTTGGGCCATCTGCCACCCAGCTAACCCGGAACGATCTGCAACGGCAGGCGCGAAGCGAACCGCTAGTAAAGGCGGGGCTGAGGCCGCAGAGAGTCTCGTGAGTCCTCCAGGAACCACGAACCCAGACTGACCACTGCACTCCGGCTTCCTATAGTTGCGTCAACCGACCCTCCTGCCGTACCATCATCATAACAACGCTCCATCTGACCTGTCGCAACTCACCGCCAAGATGCCACGAGACTTGCTAGCAGACAAAAAGACGCTCGATGGCATGCCCGAACTATCAAGAGAGCCTGAGACCGTCGCTAGCCCAGAGTCCGTGGAGCAGCAATCGAGTTTGGTGCCCCATCGCAGTTCCAACATCGCTCAGGAGGGGAGACTCAAGCAGATGGGCGTCCGACCCTACGCTTCATTGCTGAACATCGACGACCTGGATGATTGCGATTGGCTCGAGCATGCGGCCTTCGATCCGGTTGAAGCCGCATCGCGCGAGAAGGTGAGAACGATTGCTTTCATCGACGTTATCTCGAACATCATGGTCAATGCCTGTATTTTCTGCTCAGTGCCACCATTGGGCTCCGTCAGGCACGAGCCATGCGCTCTTCTCCATAACGATGTTACTCAAACCATCAAGTGCGCACACTGTCTTCTGCCCTGTTTCCTATTCATTGTTTCACGAAACACCAATATACCTCTTACGTCGTTCATCGGGTCCAATTGAGTTTGTTATGCGCTGGTCGTTCGCTCCTTCCCTTCCCTCACTCATGTCCTGCGCTCTTTCCTTCCGGTCTCTTCAGATCCCGCGCTAACCTACCACAGCTCGAGTACCGTCTGCGAACCTGTGGTGAGCTCTGCAGTGGGCTCTTCTCTTCCGCCTACCCCACCACGTCAGGACCATTAGGCGAGACCATCAAGTTGCACTCCTTCCCATCAATAGACTCAGCAGACACAGACCGGAAGCGCGTGATAATTGGTCACGTCATCTCCACCAAAGCAAACTCACCACTCGTTACCGATGACGCGATGGACTACCCCAAGGACTGGAAAACAAACTACCAACTCACGCCAAATGTAGGCCATAACGAAGACGGTCAGACGGTTTGTCTGCACTCATTATGTGTACATCCAAACTTTGCGCGCAAAGGTCTCGGCTCAATACTACTGCAGAGCTATGTACAGAGGATCAAGGATTCGGGTGTGGGTTCTAGGATAGCGCTCATCTGCAGAGACCGGTATATACCTTTCTATGAGAAAGCGGGATTCAAGAAGATCGGACCCAGCAAGTGCCAATATGGTGGAGGCAACTGGGTAGATATGGTGCTGGACTTTGAAGACAGTGGAGATGATGGTTGGGAGTACTAAGAGGTATGCTCCGATAAAAGCGGGCCTTCTACAGGCTGGCATACAACCACGTCCGTAGATGTTTGAGCGATTCAAGAGCGTGTAGAATGGAACAAAAAGCATGTGCAAGATTTACATGTTCACGCGCACTGTATTCGCTACACATCTGTCGTTGACTAATCGCCCATTCAGCCTCGCTTATTGAACCAGCCTGCTTAGCTCCTGCCCTCAGGCTTCGTTCAGCCGTAGGCAGCTGCGCCTCAGCCTCGTCTCACTCATCAACCCCAACAGGGTTTTCCTCGCATCTCTCCTCTATTCCTCCCTCTCCCTAACTGCATTGATGCGCACCGTGTTGTACTTATTGGCGACCGACCCCACACGTCATTCCCCATCATGTCCACCCTGTACGAAGACACTCCGCTCCACATCGATGCCAGCACGAACATTCGACTGCTTGAGATTATCCAAGCAGATGACGAAACGGCTCCAATAGCCTGCACTATGCGCGTAATCGCTCTCCAGGAATCGCCCAAATACACTGCGCTTTCGTACGTCTGGGGCCCACCGACACCCGCAAGAGATATTTTAGTCAACGGGAAGCCTTTAACCGTACGCGAAAACCTTTGGAACTTCCTTCATCAAGCCAGGAAAGATCGGGCGACGTGCGCCCTGTGGATTGATGCTATCTGCATTGATCAAGATAGCAATCCAGAACGGACTCATCAAGTCTCTATGATGGGAAAGATCTACTCGGAAGCTGGTCTTGTCTTGGTTTGGCTTGGAATAGCTACGAAATACTCGGCTCAATGGGAACGTGCCATGAAAACGATACCACCTTTTCACAACGACGGCCATGGCAATTTTAAACGCTGGTATAAGGTATACGGTCCTTGCGTTATGGATCTCTTCAATTCGCCATACTGGAGTCGGGCCTGGATTGTACAAGAGTACACTTTAGCCTTGGAGAGGGTTTTGCGGTTTGGCCCTTACACATCCACTGGCGAATCGGTCTCCTTTCTCTGCAAGACCTGGGGGGGATTTCTGGAAACCCACGGAGTCAAAAAGAGGCCACATTTCATGAATTCTATGGCAATCAGAGTGATCGATGAATCAATGGAGGTAGCCAGAGGTATTCTTAACCTGGTAGAATTGGTCGCTTCGTTTGGCTTGCCTGGACGAGCCCTTCACTGTGCAGATCGACGCGATAGGGTGTACTCATTATTGGCACTGTGTGATTCGCAGCAGCTTACAGAGAACTGTATAACGCCTGACTATTCCAAGTCCCTACTCGAACTATACAGTCAGCTTGTTCGCATGGTTATTAACGACGAAACATTTAAAGATGTAAAATCAGAACTCATAGGATTCATATTGCCTGTGGCACTGAGGCTTGAAGAGATCGAGTTGGAAAATCTCGACCATGATATGATGGATTTTTTGAAAGATTCTCTAAAGCAGTATACACATCACCGAGCAATTGGAGCGGCCTTGAGTGGATGTGGTAGTAAACGGATGGGGCTACTGGAAGATGTGTAACCACGATATTGAGTGTCCGTAAGAAGGATAGATTAATATCTGTATGCCGGACAGGTACAACCACTCTGCAAAATGACAAACCAACCACCGCTCATGCGTACTCACTCCTATCTACCCACGCCGGCTGCAGCGCCTTTCCATCAATTTCACTAAACGCGAACCCACTCCCATACCTCGCATACTCAATCAACTTGAGCGTATCCAACTTCGCCCCAGCCTCGGTCTGCGCCCACATCGCCACACTCAAGACATTCTCCCCTCTCATGTTGAGAATACCAGGAGGAATAGGATAGCGAGTCTGGGGTCCAATGTGGGGTACGTATTTCCCGTACTGGTAGCCGTTGACGAAGAGAAGCATGCGTGCAATGGTACCTTTCGGCGCACCGAGTTCGATGCCGATGGGGACGTCGAGGTCAGAGTCGATGGAGAGGGAGAAGGTGGTTGTAAACCAGCGGATACCGGCGCCTTGGACGCCGTCGGCAGTGGGACTGGCGTCTTCCCAAGAAGAGGTGTCGAAACCGGGGAGGTGCCAACCGAGACGTTCGCCGTAGAGACCGCCTTCGTTCATTGGACCGCGCACGGGATCGATGTTGCGCTCTCCACCTGCGTTACCTTGGATCTTCCATTGGTCGAACGAGATATTCGTGTTGTTGCCGCTGAGAAGTTGGGCACCTAGTATACCACGGGGGTTTTCGGCGCCAGCGGGGCCTGTGGAGGTTTGGTCGTGACCTGTATAGTCGGTGATCACTGTCAAGACATTCCCTTCGTCCTTCAATGTAACGTTTCTGAACGAGAGCAAGGCTGTTGTCGAAGTGAGTGATGCGTTACCGGGATGGTAACCGATTGATTGCCCGTTGAGCCAAGCCCCCCAACCAGCGGCGACACCGCCCTGAACCGTGATGTTGAGTGATGATGCGCTTTTGCTGGAGAAGTATCCGCGGTAAATCTTCGCGCCAGTGTAGTATTTGTAGTCACTGCTGAAGAGTACAGGGAGAGTGAGTGGTTTGACTGGGCTCAGAGTGGTGTTCTTGTTGGCGACGATCCAGCTGCTGTCATCGTACGAAGGTTGGATCTCCGGCGAAGATTCAGCAGCTTTGAAGTTGGCAAGCTCTGGAAGAGTTATCTCGCGTTCTGCGGTTCCAGCGATCTTCGCAGTGAGAGAACCATAAGAGGTCTTCGTCGTAGCGAGCTCCTTTCCATTCCAGGATATCGTTTCCACATCAGAACCGGCGTATACTTCGATGGTCGTCGCATTTGCATTGTCACCAACAACGGAAACTGTACCGCCTGATACACTGGCAGAGCGGACGAGATATGGCCCGAGCACGAAGATCTGGTGGTCGGGTGTGACGTTGGGGACATCTGTCGTTGATGGCGCAAAGAAGGTCCATGCAGTCGGAATATCAAGCATATAAGCAAGAACGCCGTTGGAGAACTCGGCGACTGTCGCACCCTTGCTTTGGGTGTACGAGAAGCTTGAGTAGGTGCCATTGGCCGGCTTACTCGCAAGGTCTGACTCCGCACCGTATGCCTTGAACGTTACGTTACCCTGCGATTTGAATGCGAACTCTCCTGTCTGGCCTTCGCGGGTGTAAAGTACGAGGACGGGTCGATCAAACAGGCCATAGGTAGCAATCTCGGCTGACGAGTAAAGCAGCGTTTCGTCACCCACAGCGTAGTCGGTAACCACCCATCGACTCTGACGGCCCGCAAGCTGCATGCTCGGGATCTTGACATCGCCTTCAGATGTCTTGATCGTTATAGAAAAATCGGTAACGGCGCGGGTACGAGTGTTGTTGTTCTCGGCAAGATAGAATCTACTGTCCGTATCGCGGCTTTTGAGCTGCCAAGTCCAGATTGCGGAGTTGTCGACCGCGTTTGCGGTGCCATTGTTCTCCATGAATGTGTTGTGAAGGCCCTTACTGACACGGGTAAAAAGTGCGAGCAGTTTGTACTGCTTGAACTTGTC